TTGTGGCCATTCTGACAGGTGTGAGGTGACATCTCATTGTGGTTTTGATTTCATTTCCTTAATGACTAGTGATATTGAGCATCTTTTCATGTACCTGTTGGCCTTTTAAATATCTCCTTTAGAAAAATGTGTATTCAGGTCTATTACCCATTTTAAAATTGGATCATTATTATTTTGTGATTAAGTTGTATGAGCTTTTCATATATTTTAATGTTAACCTCTTATTAGATCTATGGTTTATAAATATTTTCTCCATTCTGTAGGCTGCCTTTTCCCTTAGTTGATGGTTTCTTTTCCTGTGCAGAAGCTTTTAATTTGTAATTTCAACTTATTTTTTATTTTGTTGCTTGTGCTCTATGTATTATATCCAGAAAGTTATTACCAAGACTCATGTCAAGAAACTTTGTTCCTATATTTTCTTCTAGGAGTTTCATGGTTGTGATTGTTACATTTAAATCTTTAATCCATTTTGAGTTAATTTTTGTGAGTAATATCCAATAATATCCCATTATTTATTGAAGATATTGACTTTTCTCCACTGAGTATTCTTGGCTCCCTTGTCAAATATTAGTGGACCATGTATATATATACTACTAATAATAACACATATAATAATAATAAATAAATAAATATACATACATATATATATATATATGTATGCGTGGGTTTATTTCTGGGCTTTCAGTTCTGATCCATTGGTCTGTGTGTCTGTCTTTGTGCCAGTACCATACTGTTTTGATGACTGTAGCTATACAGTGTAGCTTGAAACCTAGAAGTGTGATGTTTCCTGCTTTGTTCTTCTTTCTCAGGAATTCTGTGGCTATTCTGTGGTTCCATATAAGTTTTAGGATTGCTTTCTCCCCTTCTGTAAAAAAGGCCATTGAAACATCTGATTGATGACCTATTAAGGATTGTGTTTCAAGAAAAAAATCAGAAAATTTCAAAAATTTTCAAAAGCATAATAAAACTGCTTAATAGTACCTCACTTACTTTTATTCAGTTATATTTTTTCTTGTTAGTCCATTTTTGTTTAACAACAACATTGGAAATCTAAAATTATGTGGAAGAGGGAGAAAAATTTTGACTATTTTGTTTATATTTAGACTATTTAAGATAGCTGAAAAACTAACTGCCGTAAGTTTGGACCATCCTTGAAATGGTTTGTGAAAAAGCATAATATTGAATAAAATATTTATAATAGTATTGTCAAGCTTTAAAATATTTGTTTAATTTTAAATATTTTCCATATTACTGTTGAAGACGAATATTAAGGGAACAGTACTTTTATGTTATAATGCTTCTAGTTCTGATTAATTGACTTTGAATAACCTAATTACCTCTTCTTGTTTTAAACAATGGCATCATTACCACATTTACTGACTGAAAGTCTACTCAGAGAACTGGAAATTATTTAAGCTATTTACAGAATTAATTTAGGAAATTTTAGGTTAAAAACCAAGAATCTATATGAATTGCTAGGCTTTTCTTTAAAATTCATTTTCTCATTAATTGGTTGTTTATCTTGATATTCATTAAAATGTTTAATGTAGAACTTACAATTGGTATTAGAGTCTGTTTTCAATATTGTTTCTAGCATTAATTTAATACTCAGTTTTGAATATTGTAATATTTAGAGAAGCTTAGCTGAAGTTTACATGAGGAACGCAGAAACAAAAATATATACCTTCATCCATAAATGACACAATTCAGTGGTAAGTGAAATAGATGTTTCTAGACAAATTTCTAGTCTACTAAAGTTACTTTTCTAGTCAAACTAAACTAAAAGTAGACCCATGGATAATTAAGTCTTTCTGTTAACTGACTTCACTTGCTATTCTATAAACCAAATTTCAAAAAAAATTTTTTTTTCTAATAGCTAGCTTAGGACTATTTATAGCTAAAACTGAGGGTAATCTTTAATATGTAAAATAACCATTAAGTTTAAAATTTACCATCTAACATCAGCTTATATACCACCTGGGGAATAGTTATAATTTTAGAAGAACACTTGTCAGTAAACTAATGTAAGATCCTGTTCTTCAGGGTACATTGGAATGATTTCCTTTTTTCAGAAGAAATATAGACTGTTTCCTAACACAACACATCCAGTAAGGAATGATTGATTCTGGTTCTTTCTGTTCTTCATGACAATATGTCTATTCTCAGTAGAATTAATAGTCTAGCAGGGAAAACAGACATTACATGTATGTTGAGGTGCATAAAAGGTCTGCAAAAGCCACATGTTATCTACTCTGGGTTGGACATTATATATCCTATATCAGGGAAGGAGGTTTTGTAGAGGAAATGGGATTTAAAATTCAGCATTGAAAAATGGAGGGATGAGGTGGAGGAAGGCGCTGGGGTAGGAGGAAATAACATATTCAAAGGTCCTGAGACGGGAAGGAGCAGAACGTTTTCCAGGAAACAGCGTTTTCTATGTCATCTTCCCATTTTCTTTTGTATCACAGGAGACATTTTCAAGTGTGTCCTTCATATAATCACTGTTACTTTCTGCAGGTTTCTTTTTGTTCTTCATTGATTTTAATATTTTTTGCATTTTGTTACAGCATTATTAGAGTCTTGAGAGTTCTGAGTTTAGCCGTTTCTCTCTTTTAAAAAAATTCCCCTCTCTTTACCTTTACCTGGACATTATATAAAACAGGTATTCTTCTACCACTATTTTACCTAAGAAAAATGGAGATTCAGTGAGGTTAAAGAAACTACCTATGGTTGCCAGCTTGTGAAGTCTGTAAAAGGCAGTTTATGTGTGACTAAGCTATAGTGTGATAGTTATTTCCAGGCCATTTTACTAAGTAGGGGACATTCTAATGTCCCTGTGTCAGTGTGTTTCCCACCGCTGTCAGGACCGAGCGCCAGATCACGTGACATTTATAAAAGCCTTAAAATTCCCCACAACCCTTCCTCCCAGGGTTTTCCTTTTCCTAGAACTGGAGCTAAATAAGCTTCATTGCCTTATTTTATTTTGTTTAGCAATTTAAGTTTCTAGAATATAATAAATAAATGTGTCGCAAATTGTCCAGGCGTTCTTCTGTAGTATCCTTAAATGTAAACAAGCAACACCCATATCTCAAGTATTAGAAGTAATTTTATTCTGTAATTATATACACACTTGCTTTAGAAACAAGAATAAACGTTCCAAAGTCAATCATATTGGAGCCGACTCACCAACCCCAACTCCCCAGCGTGGACCTGAAAGAGCCTAGTGTGTGCAGCACTGGAGATCCTTCTGCATTTCTAGGGCTTACAGATTCTGCATTTGGTTCTAATGCCCTGTTCTCCTTAAATAGACATTTGTGTTGGCCTAATTTCTGGGGATAGGCAATTCAGGTTACTTGTATGTAATGTTGCCATTTCCGATGTGGTTGCCCCCTATATCTACCGTTCCAAGTAGTCATGGAAAAATCTCAGGAAAAATTTACCACTAAGGATGATAGAGGTGTTTTTTTTAGAAAAAATTCTTCTGACAAGAATGCTGGAAATGAATTATAGGATGTTAATGAAACCTCAAGGAAATAGGATGTTATCAGCAATATAAAACAAAAAAAAGATTGCTGGTGTGCCAGATGAAAGAATTGCCATGTTAATAGACAATTTTGTGGAATCTACAACTCAGTATGTATTGCAGTTTGAGAGGAAGGTAGCATTTCACTAGTAGGTTATTCGATGACTGCCTCATTCCAACTAAAATGTAATTCTTTGCATAACATGTTCTCTTTTATATAAGTGTCCACATGGAATTCATCAGACGTGATAAAATAATGTACATAATCCTCTTCAGATCTTGGGGAAAGAGAGTTCTTTAAAAGTGTAACCAAAGCATAATTTATTTTATAGTCCTTTGATTTTGCACTTCATGTCCATCTTTACTGGAAGACTTTGAGTTTATTAACCAATAAGTATATTTCAAGGAATTTAAAATATTTTAATAAATACAAATAAGAATTACTTATACCAATGATCAACATCAACTAACTAGCTGAATTCATTCATTGTACCTGCCACTTTGTGGGTGATGTGGGTGACCTAAAAGATCCCTGACCTCCAGAAGGCCAGGTAGATAAAACACATGAAAAAAATAGAAAATGATGAAAGAGGAAGCTAATATCTGCTGAGGCTGCAACATGTATAATAGGATTGGATTGGACATTTCATATTCTTTATCTCATATTAGTCTTCACAATAAACCTGTAATACTGGTGTTATTGTCCCCATTTTATAAATGAAGGGACTGAGGTTTGGACAGGTGATGAAATGTGCTTAATGTCACCCAGCGGGTAAGTGACCGAGCTAGTATTCAATGGCAGAGTTCTTTCCACTACCTCATACTGGCCTCACTCATTACAGGACAACAGCTGAAAAATGACATCAAATCGTTGTTTTACCTACTTCTTTACAGAGATTTCAATTGTTCTGTTTTTTCACTAAATTTATGGGAAGGTTGATGGCAGAGAGGTATATTTCCAGATTGATGTAAAAAACAAACCTGACCTGAATTGCACTTTGAGAAGTAAAATTTCTGCTTTCTTAACCACAGTTTCCTGCACTGAGGGGCCACTGCATTTTTTTAAATGTCCAAAGTATTTGCTGCAGTGTGAAAAAAACATGGGATTAAAAATAGAATTGGTGGCAACCATACAAAAAAGCAAGTTGTATTGGACTCTGTGCAACAATAGCAGTTGGCTTCAGGGAATCCTTAACCTTCAAAGATCTAAAGCATTTTTGGGCCAGAAGAAAGCTTCGTATATTGTAGATGATCAATACTTTTTATAGAATAAATGGGTGCCTTATAATGTGAGCACTGGTTGATGGTCCAGGACAGATGGGCAAATTTAAAATTCTCTCTGATTAGGAATATTAAAGTATTTTTTGATGATATTATCAAAGCAATGATATTTTGATTGCTTCATTTTTATACTTTTTGTAGATAAATTTAAAATGTCTAATGTAGTGAATCAAGTACGTTTATATTTATTTTCTAGTGCTCAGCTTCTTGTGGTAAAGGATTAAAATACCGTGAGGTGCTTTGCATTGATCAATTCCAAGGGAAATTAGAAGAAAAATACTGCAGTCATCTATGGAAACCTCGAACTCACAAAGCTTGCAGATCTGCCAGATGCCCTTCATGGAAAGCCAATAGATGGAAGGAGGTATGTCATTTATTTTACAATTATATATATATATATATGTATGTATTTTTGCATTTAAAAAGAAAATCGTAATTCAGTATACTTTCAATAACCTTGAAAGTTTTTACTCCACTAAAATGTTTTATTCTATGGAATATTTTTTTGCACTATGCTCTGAATTAATGTTGTACAGTGTTAACACACTTGCTAAATCTGTAGTTAAATAACAAATGACTCAGTTGGTTTTTTGTGGCTGTAAACTTGACAAGAAGTTCTCTTACTGAATCCTGGGGGGCCTGCTGATGGTCACACATCGTCCCAGGGAGCCTGGCAGTCAGACGTAGATGGCGATGTGCTTAGTAACTGCCTTGCTGTACCCGAAGGCCTTGGTTCTGGGCTAAGTTGACGTCTTGGAAATGGGCCTGGTGAGCTGCAGGGGGATAGGTACTGGAGACTGGTTAGAGGCTGGGCATCAGAACGAGGTGGCCCAGGTGAGTCCAAGGCTACAGTGGACATACTTGGAAAGTCTCCGCAAGAATTGAAGCTGATGCGCGGGTGTGATTCAGGCTGAGAACTCAGTTTATAAAAGAACCGTGATACACACCTGTTCTGACATAATCAGGGAGGCGAGCTCACATCTGCACAAGGGGAGGCATGCGCTTGAATGCGACTGCCAGAGAGAGCAGCTTAGCAAAAGCCAAAGAGGCGGAAGCGTGGGTGGAGCCAGAAACGCTCCTGGAGCCGCGGCCTGAGGCCGGACTGCAGGGGGCTGGGCTTCCGGCGGGACCTCAGGGTCCTCACCATTCCTTAGGAGGCCCAGGCCGGCAAAGGGAAAATGCAGGGGGAACATCTTTGTGTCTGTCTGCTGTTGGGGCTGTCGGGGAAAACGGGTTCGGCAGGAGCGAGCAGACGTGGGACTCCCTTCCCCTGGGCCCCTAACTCGTCTTCACTCTGTGAGGTCAGCTCCTTGGGGCGCCGCACCAGCCTTAGTGACCCTGTGTCCGCACAGCGCTGTAGAAATCTCCCAAACTGAGCGAGCATCTCGGCTTTCCTTGCGGAAGAGGCGACCCTGTCAGGTGCCAAGGTGCTGAGAACTGCGGGCTGAATAAGCTGCGGACAAACACATATGTGTGTTTTTAAACACAAGAAAACATCCTTGGGCATTTGTTTCTACACTGAAATTAGATAAAGTCAATAAAATTATTTTTCATGCTTTAGCAGAGGCCATGATTTTAAAAAACCTCCCGGTAACTGCTTTATTTAATGCCGGCCACCCCTGCCTCCTGAGCTGTTTGACGGAGAGACCCTGGGCCGCCCTGCCCCCTCCTCCCGGGCCCGTAGGCAGCCGCTCAGCGAGTGCCCTCCCGTCCCTGCCACAGTTACTCTGGAATCTCACTGCAACCACCCTGTCTAGTTCATCACCTGTTCTTGGGTGTGAAAGAGCCGCTCCGTGTATATTTCAGCCATTATTTACTTGCATTTGTGTTGAACTCAAGAAGAACTCAGACATTATTGTATCTCTTGATGTCCCTGACTTATCCTTGTCTTCAGGATGAGGGTCAAACCCCTGATCCATTGTCAGGCCACCGAATCTCAGTGGCACGGATGTCTCTCTTTCACTAAGTACCCAGCTTAGTAGCTGGCTAAGTAGTTCTTGAATACTATGATTTAGTTGCATAAAAGAGTTGCTATCTTTTAACATATGTTTGTCATATTGTGGTTTTGCCCAAAGCAGGGGTTTGCCTTACTTTTTCTGGGCCAAGGTGTGGCAGAATAATGGTAGGGAGAGGGTGAAACACTGTTAAGGGGCTGAACCCAGCGTGTGGCGAACCCCTAATTATGTATCGGGCAGGAGCCTTGGGATGGGAGGGGAGGGGGCAGAGACTTTGTTTTTGGCCACCAGCACTCCTGTGGCCCGCGGGCAGCTGCTGAAGCCGCGGTGGTCGCCCTTCGGGAGGGTCTGAGCCTTGACCCCCAACCCCACGGCGGCAAGTCAGCCATCGGCGCTAAGAGATGGGCGTGGCTCCCATCAGTCCGGACTATCTGAGGTTCACGAAGGGAACGCATTTCAGGGGTTACAGACACGAATATTCAAAGGCTGGAAAAGGCCCAGATACCTTTGTGTGATCTGTTTTCTCAGGTTTGAATTTGTTTTCCTTGTCATAGAAATTAGCTTCTTATACCCACATGGTCCCCACAGCTCTGCCAGGAACAAGTGGCCATTTGTGAAGTTGCTGGCTTTTGATTTATTCCATAAAAAGTACCCACATGAAGTTAACAATTGCAGATGGTTCCTGCACCGCATAGAATAATCTATTCATCAGAAGGATAATTTCAGAGGTAGTTACAAGATATCCCTAGTCCCACTGAGTTCTGACTGCATAAACTGTAACATTGCCTTAATATAATATAATATATAACATATAAATAATTTCATTTTATTACTGTTTTACATTATACCTAAATGGAAAGACTCATTTGGCAAACTGTGACCACAGAGGTCACCACAGGTCAGCGGCTCAGGGCCTCCTCCCCAGGGCTCCTGTCAGGAACAAGCGTATGGGAAGCCTTCTGTTCTGTGAAATTCTACAAATAATGCAAAATCTTTGTACGGATGAGAAGAGTGAGACCTGGAGAGGTTCAGACAAAGTTGTCTAAGTTTACAGTTTACACAACCAGGTTCCCCAAACACTTGTCCATTGAAACATAATCATGAAACAACAAGCTAGCGAATGTTTGGGTCCCCAAGCAGTACTATAGATACTGAAGTTATAAAAATGAGCACAACACGATCTTGGAAATCACTGTTTCTTTGAGAGACATTATGCATAATGCATATTTTAAAATATGTTTAAAAGCTAGGGTTTAAATTATGTTTAAAAGCAGCATAATAGAATAGTTCCATTGTGTGGTAAGTTTTATAGATACTAAGTTTATTTAAGTCAGAAGAGAAGTTATCAATCAGGATGGCCTGTTTGGTAGGACGTGTCATACAGCCTATCCGTAAGGCTTGAACAGTCTCCATAAGGCATGAATCGGTATTGCAAAATAAAGAAAACTTGTTTTTTTGTATAGATGCTTCACATCAGACAATCTTAAAAATATTCATTGCATGTATTTTGTATCTAACACGTGATATAATATCAGGCATGTCACAGCACTATTTTGCTATTTCTGCAGAAATTAGATTTGCCAGCTAACAGTTCTTGTCATCTGGGCTTCTTTGCAGTGCCCTGTGACCTGTGGCTCTGGAGTTCAGCACAGGGACGTGTACTGTAGACTGAGAGGCACGGGTCGGGTGGCCGAAGAAATGTGCAGTGGGGCCGCCCGGCCCCATTCCCAGAGGCAGTGCTGGCATCAGGACTGCACACAGTACCAGTGGGTGGCGGGAGAGTGGCTGCAGGTGAGTACTGACCAGTGCCCCATAAGGGTGCCGTGTACAAGAACATGTCATCCATTTGGTCATTGCGCTTCCAGTGTTCAGCCTCATGTAAGAAGAAGGAGACCCATCGGCAAGTCACGTGCATCGATGCACGTAACAGTCACGTGAATGACAGCTTCTGCGATCCTTCAACCAGACCTCCTTCCATCAAAATGTGCAGGAGCCGCCCCTGCAGGTACCTTGTGGTCACAGGGGACTCGTCACAGGTAAGGCTAAGAAAGGACGTTAATACATTTTGCTCTTGGGAAAAAGAGCTGAGTCTGAAATCTGGTGCAGTTGAACCCGGGGGAACTTTGAATGTCGGGACAGAGACTGGCATGTGCCCAGTGTCAGGAGCGAAGCCCCCAGGGCCGAGACAGGCAGGAACAGCAGAGGGCTGTGTCACACTGCAGCGCAGCGCCCAGGGGCCCCCTGGTGCCGGCGCTGAAGGCCCCGCCAGGGGCAGTGGTGAACTGGGCCGGCAGAGCAGCCCGCCTCCTGGGAACAGCTTCACCGAGGCAGAGCTGGCAGGCGGTAAACCGCACGTCCGGGAGGGCACAGCCTGGCAGGGCCGCAGTGTGTGCGCGCCCGCAAACCTACCACCGCAGCCACAGTAAGGAGCGTCTCCTTTGCCCCGAAACTTCCCTTGTGGGGCTTCACGATCCCTCCCTCCCCTTCTCCCCCGACCCACTGATGACCAGATCTGCTTTTGGTATTAGTCATCTGTCACTGTATTAGTTTCATTTTCTAGACTTTTATATAAATGGAATCAGAGCATGTACCATTTTTTGTCTACTGTCTCAGAAGTGTTTTGAGCGTCAGGTTGCAGTATGTATCAATAGTTCATTGCTTTTGTTGAACAATACCCCACCCTATGGATGTCTTTAAGCCATTGGTCTTTCCTTCTGTGAAATCTGCCATTAATCCCCATCCAGTTCTTTTTTTTTCCTTTTTATCTCAGACAGTGTGATCTTCATCTTGAGAAGTCCGATTTCAGCCAGCAGGCACTTGGGTCCCATGCAAGTACCAGATAGTGTTCCTAAGTCTTTTGATCGGCTCATTCCTCGGCCACAGGTGGCGTCACCGCCCGTGTATGAGCACTGGTCGGAACCCTGCCATCCCTTCGGGGTTCCCTCCCCTTTCCAAGACCTGGTGGCCTCCTCCAGGCAGTGGGCTGGAGGAGCCGCTGTAGGGCCACTCTGTTTGTTCCCCTCTTCCAGGGATCACTATCTTTTATTGCCTGATGTCCAGGGTCTTGAAAGCCATTTTTTGATGTATTTTGTTCAAGTGTTTTTTTTTTTTGAGAGGGCATCTCTGATATTTATTAATCAAATGGTTGTTAACAACAATAAAATTCTGTATAGGGGACTCTATGCACAATCATTAATCAACCTCAAG